TTGACAACAAGTCCTTTACCGATCCTTCATGTGGATCATAATTTTCGTAGCCTCTTCCCTTGCTTTTTTCTCCACCACATTTCTTGAGTAATCCCTTAAATGTTGCAACATTTGGGCAATTGTTGCTTTGTCCAACTCAAAATCGGCAACTACAGTTGAAAACTCTGATATGGCAACTTCAGTTTCATGATTAAGAAGTTTTCTTATTGAAGCCCAAGTATCTTTTCCACCAGTTTCAAGTAGAGTCTTTACTGGTCCAGTTAAAGATGCAGACAGTTGTTTCTGGAAAATTAAAGGTTATTTTCGTTGAGAAATTTGAGTAACAACAGATTATCAACATAACTTTAAAAGTATTCCATGACTTTAATAGATTATCAGAACATGACCTCATAGTTGCCATTCAATTTTGACAACTTTGCACTACAAACGGATGACGCATATGCATCTATATCACGTTGAAGTTTTTTGCGAACTCTTGAAGAATCCCAATTAGCTTGTTGTACGGCCGCATCTGAAAGAAACATGTTAAGTAATACCAATAACAAAGGTTGTTTGGTGGACAAACATGTTAATTACCTGCACATCCTTCGTCAAACTCAAGCATGGAAGACTGAGTACAGGTACGAACAGATGAAGTAAATCCTTCTCTTTTGTTTAACGATTCTTCCAACCTCACTTTAAAATCTTCAAGCGCTTTAGAACGTACATGTCCCAACATGGTTGTGTACGCAGGGTAAACAAACTGGAAAATTAAGAGCAAAGCGAGATTTAAACTAAAATAGGCATGATAACTGACATTAGTGGCTGTTGTGAATTCTCAAAACCCACCACACCAAATCCAAGCCACCCTTTAATAAGTTCAGGTTTAAAGACAATATGAACTATAAACATCAGGCAATGCTACTTTCAAGTATTACATAAAAAGGAAACTCCATTTGTCCATTCAATGTCTCAGAGTGAGTTTTGTCAATCTAAGCTTTTGGTAACTAATTAGAAGTAGTCATGCTTCGGTAATGATGTTTTTAGGCTTTTTGATGGGGCTACCTAAGGGAGAAAATTTAGGCTGTCAATCCACTTCATTATCATGCCCCTCATTTTGAGATGGGGGCCCCGGGAACCAAGTGAGTAATGTGGTATTGAAAATAATTTGGAGGCTTCTAAAACTGAAAAACCACTACTACTCACGACCTCCATATTACCAAGGATTGTCTAAGAAATTGAAAGCCTAACTAAAATCTCCGTTAAATTAGAGAGACAAAGAGAGTAGCCATACATCCAACGCTTTTGACTCCAACAGTTGTCGTTTTGAGTTCCTTGCACCTTCGTCAAAGTAGATGGCCTCTATGTCATATCTATGATGCACAAGCA